AGAACCGGAAATAACGTTAACTTTATTTTTTTAAAACACTATATATTTTTTCACAAATGTAAATATTGATTTTTTGTAAAAATCAAAACCAACCAATATTCTAAAATCAATACAAAAAGTCATTCAATAAAATAGACGAAAAATTCATTCTTATTTATGATAATCTATTAGTTTGAAAAATTGACACTCATGTCATTTATTCACATAAGTGGTCTTTTAAGATGATACAAATTTGCTCAAATAAAAGAAACACGTCGTATAATTCAAATATTGATATATTTATTCTTCAAAACGTGTGGTTCTTAGGTTACGAGGAATCAGTACGTAACAATTTATATGAATTCAGTAACCAATTTAAACTAACGAAAGAAAGTGTGTTGCATCCAACTACCAAAATCAATAGCAGGTTTTTTATTTCTTAAAATTTTGCCGACGTTATAATCACTATTGTTCATTTCCGACCTTGATAATCCGGTTGTTTCTGTGGCTGCAAAATTTCCATTTTAAATAGAAAAGCTTTTTTGCTACTAGTAGATCCTTAATCAAAACGCCATATGGCTAGTCTGAAATTTTATTTAATTCAATGACGAAAACCTCAGATCAGAATTAATTAGCATTACTTTGCTCCCATAAATCAAGTTACGTCAGCGCGACATTTCTAGTACAGAAAGATGTTACCAAATTAATCTAGTTTAGCAATTACAAAATAATTTCAGTTAATTTAGATTCCACTTGTTATTACCTGGGAACCCGGAGTTCCCGCATTTTAATTTCCGGGACTGAGCAGAATAAAAGATTTCATTATTGAATAGTGTGACTTTATTTCATCCTAATTAATGTGCCAGGTATTTCGAATCACGAAGTAACGGCAGGAATTTTTTTCTTTAATTCAATTATATCTGGCTTAAAAACAGTTTAAATCGATTAGTCTAGCGTGACGCGACGACGACCGTGAATTTCGGCCTAATGTGTGTCTAATTGTTGTCTTGATTCGTTTGGATATTGAACTCTTATATAAGCCTTGATAAAAACAATACCAGTAGTGGCTTGAGAAAAATTAGTTTTGAATGGTTATTGGAGCTTTAAATGTGCATTATGCAACGATCCAACCTACATTCGCTTGAAATTGTTATTTGCTAATTGCTTTCTTAATCTTGAGAACAGTGGCGTAGCTACCGGCAGGGTGACAGGGTGTCACTAAGACTAGAATACTCTTTTTTGGATACGATTCACAGTTTTTGTTATTTGTATTTACATCTTTTTGTGAGTTTAAAACGCTATAACAAACGTTTTTAGGAAAATATTTTTTACTTTGTACAGGGAATTATTTTAATTGTTACTTTTTTAATTATATTTAAATATACCTTATAAAATTTGTATGTAACACATCCACTCATATTCAGAATTCCCCGGTTAAATTTGCCGTACAAGCGTATTCATACTTGACTGATTCCCTTGATGCAAATGTTACAAATAAAGCAGAATTGCATGCTGATTTTGTTTTTATTTCCCAAATTGCTCAAGTTCCAGACTACTACGTAACTGCTATATTTGGAACATTCTTTTGTTAAAATTCAAAATGGATGCATTTTAGTCAAATGTATTACGTTATTGTAAAGATCTTAGGATTTTAACTCCAAATGCTTGCTTGCCCAGTCAGTAATATTTAGTAAAAAACTGCTCATACAAGGAAAAATTAATTTTTAATTGTGGTCTTTTCATATGTTTAAAACACTTTAAAATACATCAGGAAATTCCATTTAGTAGGTTCCAGGTTAAAATCACTCGGACATGTATTCTTTTAGAGTAGCGTCAAACACTTTAAATTTTATTTAATAAAAAATATTAAAAATAGGTGTCCTAAAAACTTAATTAGTATTCAAATTCAAGGACTTTGTAAATATTTATAGGTGATTATTATTCCGTTCGCCTTAATTTTTTTGTCGTTGCCTGTGGTGGTTTCATTAAAGCTTTGTCAATGATCAAAAGAATAGTAAACATCCTAAAAATAAATTTACTGAAATACAGGTTTAAAAGAAGTGCATATGTTTCAATACTTCAAAAGTTAGTGAAAAACGTCAAAAAATATAATTAGATTTTAGATTATTGCATCTATTGCATTCGTCAAGATTTTTTATAGCGTAGAATATAAAAAAATATGTATTTTAAGAACTGCGTGGTGGTAAAATATGTAAAACAGTTAGCGCTCTAACGTTTGCGGTTTGGGGAGTTACTTTGCTAATTTTCATGTTAATCGTAAAATACCCGTCGTCCAAAGAATTGTGCATTTTTTTCAATTCGATTCCATTTTTTAGCGTTAGAAGAAAAAGACGTATATTTCTTTATGTTTAATTAATTATTTATTACACTGAAACAAATGGAAGACCTCCTTCTTGTAATAAAACAAACCTTAGATTCTAGGTTCGCATTTTGGCAATAATTTTGAATAAATTATTCGAAAGAATTCGATTATTAGCACGTTCAGATTAAAGCTTGAGCGGTTAAAAAGAAAATGAAATGTGATTGATTTTGTCTGTTCAACGCAAAGGAGAGGACTGACTAATGAATTAACCACAGTCAGTTTTTTTTTAATTTGAGCAACATTTATTCGGTAAAATTGTAAGATGACGGACAAATTTTGTTTAACGATTTACCATTCTTCCAGTAATCTTAAAATATTTGCAAGATTTCACAGTATTCGGTTTTTGCAATTTCAAAGTTAAATTATTGTAAAATAAAATTTTAATTTTTTTTACAAAATTCTGGATGCCTAGGGTAAAAATTCAATTAATAAATCACACATGCAGGAGTATGTAATTCTATCAAATTTAAAGAAAAATTCGGCAAAATTGTAAACTGACGTCATCGCTTTTTGGGAGTCCATAAACGAAAAAATTTTGATCAACGATTTACCGTGCTTATGATAACCTTAAATCGTTTGCAAGATTTCAGAGCATTCGGTTTTGCAGTTTTGAAATTAAATTGTAAAATTTTGATTTTTTCCAAAAATTTAGATGTCTGGGCTAAAAACCTTAGCTTACGCTCAGGAAGTAAAACCATCAAAACCAATATTTGGAAAAATATGTCCTTGCAAACGTAGTGATTTATCTTCCCTATTTTATTGAGCAGGTAGGTACAATATAAATACTCTAAAAAAATATCACATATGGTATTTTTCTTATTTTATGTATTTTAAGAGATGGTACTTTGAATTTTATTTTTAATTGTCGATTTTGTCTTTTTGACTTACCAAATAAACTGAATTGAAGAAATAATGTGAACTCTCAAAGCATTTATATTTTCATGGGTTTCCGAGAAAAAATTCTGTTAACTCTTATAGATAAAGACGCGGAAAATAGTTTTTACGACATAGCTGGGAAACCTTTTACTTCCTCGGCGATATTGTAATAGAGTAATTTTAACGAATATTTAATTTCATGTTTTCTTGTTGTGTCATCTTGTGTAGGTAAACCAAAATGAGGGTTTCCCGTTTCCTACTCCTTCGAACAATTAATGACGTCACCTTAACATTTTGTTGATTAAAGGTCGCTTTTCATTTGCTGTCTTGAGTGTTAAATCAAATAATACTAGTATTGTAAAATAAATTTTAGACGCGAAATCAAGTCTGTATTTAAAGTCAGATATTTATATTATCCAACATTCTTCCAAGTTCATAAGATATAAAATTTTTGATATCCGATTCAATAACACGTGTGCAATAAATATTATAATCTACATGAAACTGGAAAAAACAGATAGAAGTACTTATTATTCTGTGTAAAATGTGTCTCAATAGGGGTAAGAAGTCTGCATATTTTTCGCCACTTCCGATGTATTCGCGGTGAAGTCCTCTGAGACAAAACTGGATTAACTTGTCTTCCTTGGTTGTACAGATCGTTGAATTTGAATTTAATTCGGATAAAACATAATTTTGACGGAATAAAAAAAGTACTAAAGTGCAAGGTTTTATGTAATAACCTACTATTAAATCATTCTTTCATCGTTAATGTGCTGCTTTCTGTTTGTGGAAATTTTTAAAATAATTTACATTAATAACGATTTTTGCTAATGATTTTAAATTTAAAAATACTTGTACAGGTTTGTTATAAATTAATTGCTCCAACTGATTGGTTTTAATAATATATAAACCATAAATAGTATAATACTATAAATTTTAGCCACGTAAATTAATCGTGTAAAATGTTTAAGTTTTACAACAAATTTTATGCATTTTACCTATATTATTATTAAGTACAAAAAAGCATTTGATGGTTGGAGATATTTCTGAACAAAATATCTGTGGTGTAAGTTGCAAGTTAAAAGCTAGAATGCTAACGTCTTCTGTGTAATAAGAGGGTGCTTATCAGAACACTACAGACGCTCACTACAGTTTGGTTTACACAAAGGCATTAAACATGATATTTACATGTGAAAATTGGTCGATATTATAGCCTGCTAACTATGTCGTGAGTAGTAATCCTCATAAAATTCTCATTGCCTAGTTTCCAGAAAACATTGGTATAGAATAATCTAGCTAGAGTCTTAAGCATTAATCCTAACGACATACTCACACAGATTACTGTTTTGAAATGTTGCTCAAGAAGTACATCTGTCGTATTTTCGCTTGCAAAAGAATACAGTGAACATTTTCGATTAAGACCAAGTTACCTTAAACAACCTGCTATAAGACTGTAAGATACAAATAATATTGTTGCAAAGAGATTACTTACCTAGATTTTTAATTGCTACAGTTTTTCAAGTTATTGTCGTTTGACTTGGTCTTATGAAAAAAAATTACTGTAATATTTTATGCGATAAAAGTGATTGTAACATATTTGTGTAGATGTATTTTGATGAAAGACATATGCTATCTCGAGCCCTCCCTTTCCCTGTCTTATATTTATCAACAGGGATGGGTTAAGGTGCGCTATGATTGATGTCTCCCAGTGCTACAACTTGTAGCTGTGCCATTACCTAAGAAACCTTAAAATGACTGATACCTGATATAGAGCATTCCCCGTAACGTAGGACTCTATATAGTGCGATCCATACTTCCTAATGAACCGAATCACACTACTCACATCACCAACTTGTATCTTGTCAATTTCCCGCGCGACCGCGTCCACCAAGTTCACATTATTCGGAACAGTACTCAACTTGACACTGTCCCTAAACCTCGACAGTCTCACCAGCACGTAACAGTGTTCTTTATGCACGAACGAGGAGTTGATCCCCAGGTTTCTGGCCACCGCCTCCGCCGACCAGCTGCCGGTGAAGGCCCTCCACGGCTTGTCCAGACGCTCGAAGCTGAAATCCCTGAAGTAAGCTTGAACCAGCTGCTTGATGTTGTCGCAGAACTCCATATGGAAGTCCCCGGCGAAGATGCGGCGCTGCCTCTTGGGCACCTTGGTCGGGTGCACCACGTGCCGATCCAGCCCGTCGAAGACGTCGATCGTCGGCTCCCGGAAGAGGAAGTCGGAGTCGTTGCGCGGCACGACTTTCATGCTGAGGCTGAGGTAGCCGTAGCGCGTGAAGATGTCGATGGAGCGGCCGGCGCGCAGCTGGGTGTCCTCTTGGACGTCGTCCCCGTAGGCAGAGAGCGCGGTCAGCAGCACGAGCAGCTGCGCTCGGCCCCACATTCTCGCCGCGACTGACACCTGAAACAGAGAATATCGTGCACAAGGTGAGTCCTTGGGTGCGCGCGCGGTATCACATAATTGGAGGCCTAATTGCGCCCCCTGAGTGCAACTGGGGCCGAGGTTCGCGAGACGGTTGTTCACCCGGGACGAGATGGGATGGTATGCGCCCATGCGGTGGAATCCCGTCGAGCAGGATCGATCAGAGCGGGTCAGCACCAGGTGCATGGGCATTACGCGAGGCCTTCATACTCCAAGGAAGCGAATGATTGAGGTGCGGGTCATCTCCGAGATTACGGCTCGGTGGTGGACTTGATTGTTGCGTGACATGCGACCGCGGACAAGAATACGCAGTAGTTCTGAATTTCAAGCAAATTTTTTATCTTGACTGACATTGAACCATCACAGATATAACCAAGGATAAACGCAAGTGTAATTTCACTATTAATATATAGGATTTTTCATCTTCTTCATGCCCTTCTTTCAACTATATGTACAAAATCATTCAAATTCGGAACACGTAGGTATGCAAAAAATTTCACACCAATTGACTTATCAAAATTATTACCTTAAAATTTTGGCAATAGAGACTCTACAACATAAAGTCCTCTTGCGAAATGTAAAACGGATTGTACTATTTGGTTTTACCGGAGGTCGAGATAACTTTCGTTTCTTTAAAAGGAATGTCCTTCTTTTTAATTTTTTGAAAAAGTATTGTTTCCACAATATGATAAAATTTTCGACTAAATTTCGAATTTAAAGTTATTATTTAACACTGGTTGAAGTAACTGGAACTATAGAAATATGATTGGAATGTTTCTTATGTTTCTTTTTTCGCCCAATAAAAATTAGTTACATGGTAATTTCTGAGCATTGTTGAGAAAGAATTATCCAACTCTGTGAAGTGGAAACTTTTGTTGTATAACCTCACATCATTTTTAGTTTACTAAGACCAGTTTTACACAAAACTCAATTAAATATTTGATTGCGACTAAATTTTTAACACGGCGTTAAAGTACCACGTGACCGAATCTACGCCAATCAGACGTCGCTAAACGCCTCGTTAAATGCGTGATTAACTTAATCTCATTTAAAATACTGTATAAACTGGCCCTAAATAAGTATAATTAAAATAAAAAACTTTTTATTTAAAATGTATTAAAAAAGGCGTTTCTATTAAAATAAGTTGTCTTTCATTTCCTAGAAATTGGTTGTTTTAGGAAATGAGACTAAGTTTATATTGTTCTACGAGCCCAAGTCAATCCACCACCTGTTGAACGCAGTGTAAAAAAACAAATACCTTCATTAGATAGTTTAATTATTCTGAGATTAACACAACGTTGAGAGCATCTTGTCACGGATTGTCAATTTGAAGTTTAAAAATGAAAAGAAATTGTCAATGAAAATGAAATGAAACAGCTCTGCATTGCAATGTTAAGAATTAAAAAATGCGTAGGACGGCATTTGATCATTGTGTTTTCTATATTAACTACACAAATAAAAATTAACAGAGATTTTCAACAGTGGAGGTGAAACATACTGTATATTATTTAATTACGCTTATAGCATTACTAAATCAATTAAACTGTTATTATGTTAATACTTATTTTGAGTTAAAATGCGATGTTGACAAATATATTTCGCGCTCAAAATTGAAAACTTAATTTTCTAGCAAAGTATTTTAAATATGTCATGACAAACAATCGGAATAACACTTGCGGCGCAAATATTTTTTAGATTCGAAACAAGTTTCGTACACAAGGGAAGGTATTATTTGAAGGTTAGCACCGTAGACAATTTAATTTCGTTCCGTTGAAGATTGAAGTAGCTGACTAGCTATTAGTATTACACTTAAACAGGGGCTCGAGTTTAATGCGAAGGCATAAAGGAAATTTCGCTGACGAAAATTTTACTATTCTTCTTTGAAAAGTACACGTAACTGTTAAATTACTGTCCGTTTTGTATCAAAGAAATGGTGGCATACAACAATTAGACCGCTTTGACTTAGACCGGCTATGAAACTACGGACCTTTGCAGAACATTAAAACGCTAAAATCCCATGTAGTCTACTAAAACTTATCGATTTTGTTTCTGGGAGAAATCCTGTGGGGTTTTCGAAGCATTTCCAACTCAGCTTTTCTAGAAATTAAACTCAGTTTGATGGTCGTAATCTTATAATGTGCTTTGTTGCAAGGAATACATCGAATACCAAGTTGATTCTATTGCATATTTTCTAAAATGCATTTTATAGAATTAAGTCTTAGCAAATAAGTCTCTTAACAATTTATTTATTAAATTTTGAATTAGTACTTGGTGTTTCCATTATTAACACAGTAGGGTGAAGTCGAGAACAAAAGTTTAAAAAAGTCTATAACTATTTATGTATTTTTCTCTTATAGTGTAATGTTTTAATCTTGAAAGGCGCCGTAACCAACGAATCTTATTAGAAAAGTTTAATTTTAACTCGTAAAAAATTAAACGTGTTCTGTTCAGTGCTTCTTTTCTATTTAAATTATTTAGGGTCGAGTGCACCGCATAATTTTAATTTATCGATCGATTGTGAGTGCATGGTAGATTTGATTTTTACTTAAAACCGCCAGTATCTGGTATGCAAACTGCCAATCATTTTTTATTACCTTTTTACACCGTCTGAAAAACCAGCTACCTCATAAAATTAGATAACTTTTCAAACAACCTACGACACGATAAAATTCTGACAAACTTTTGATATAGTTTGACCAACCTACCTTATCGCCGGTATAATTATTATGTGTTGATTTGATACGCAGACCTTTGTTTTTGGGTCAGACGTTTCCATAATAAGTAAATAAATAATAAAAATAACATGCTATTTCAAATGAGATAAATTAGGCATTAATAGCAAAATAGATAGTTGGTAAATAAAATTAATTGTGTTGTACCTTGAATAAATAGAATAATAGACCAGCTCATTACACAAATCTTCTCTAAAAGTGGTGAGTGCTAATTTTAGCAACGAAAATTGCGGTGCTCCATTCAGTTGCCTAGATTTTATTAGTGTAATTAAGAATTAGTTTCTCTACTCGCTTTATACAAATAAATATTTCTAAGTCCTAATTAAGCTTCGTTATTATATTGCTAATATATTCATTCTCTTTTATATTACTTTCTGTAATTACGTGCATATGTACCGATTGAAAGTAACTGAACTATAATGATTACTTGATTGTTTGTTTTATGTTTCAATTTTATTAAATGCCTATTTAAAAATAAATTAAAGAAGAAGTCGTAGCCAGATAAAATGCGACAAGGTTAGTGTAATTATAATTGATTTAAAGCGTTTTACAGCGACATTTTTGAAAAAAAAAAACATAACTAATGTTAATACATGTCCCGAATTCAAAATGTAACATTACCGTGTGCACATACATATATGGAAATATCTTTAGAATGTAGAACACCGATAATTCTGAACGCTGTGGTAAGCTAAACTTTGTCGAGACAAATTAAAACCTAAAAAAAGATAATAAAGAAAATACAAGACAGACATAATTAACTTACTTCTGTTATGTAAACATGTAATTGTAGATACTCTACAACTGATTAATTAATCACCAGCACCACTCTTATTTCTGCTATGAGAATAATTACCTAATCTTCATATTACTTGACAATGTACGGCGTCTTACAAATAATTCATTGAAAAAAGTAGTTTTCTGGCAGGTGACCATGACAAAACCTTGCCGACACACTAACAGATGCATGAGATAATACTTAAAACCATTATTTATAATCGTATAATTATGGTAAACGACTAGCAATTTACTTAAAAGACACTGAAAGTATTCAAATTTGATTCTTGTGGTGTACGTAATTTTGCGATAAGGAGGTCATAGTTGACAAAATTATCATAGTTTAATAAGTTGTATATCACGAATGCCAAATTTTAAGTGTCTACAATATTTAGTTTCTGTTTCTATATCGCCGCATCATTTTTTGAAGATTTCGATTGTATCGAGTGTTCGACGTTGCAAGATTTTTTAGAACTTTTGAATTAAATTAGTTTTTGCAAAAAACTTGTTTCTGTAAATTAAAAACCTTACCTTAGCAAAAAAAGAAATATTTATACTAAAAATTGTTCAGCTTCAAAAAAGCAAATTCGATTTGATTACATATTGTCATACTCTAAATTAGACATTTTATTCAAAAAAGTTTATGTACTTTTCGAATTTTTCTGGCAATTCAGAACTGTTGCTTATGTGATTAAAAGAGTTTAGTTTAGTGTCAGAAAATTAAGAACATGTTTTGGAAGTAAGTTAATGCCCTTTTTCGAGTTGTCAACAATAAAAACCTGTTTCTTTTTGAAATGTTGAAAAGTTAAACAACTGTTATCTTTCTAATCTAGTAAGTAGGATGTGGTACCGCACGAATGCATTTCTTTAATGCTTAATAGATATTCTTAATCTCGGGAAAACCTCTTATCACAAAAATAATTTGTGGGAAAATGCATTATATAAAAATTCTTAAAATATACCGACTTTACCATTCGTCAATATGCTCTTATTCTTAATAAAATATTATATAAAATAAAAACCTCGCTATGCAGGTAAGTCCACTTTTCGACTATTGTGTAGGTCGATTAAATAAAGCAACTGGGACAATTTAAGGACAACGTTAACCTTGACTTAAAATACCTGAGTAAAGTAACACTTTAATAACAGACAATGCATACTTTGTTTGCTTACTTGTCTACTCTTTATACGGTATTATTTGACATAATGCTTGAATCGGTAATAAAAGGCTACGCCCATATTTAGTATATCGTTGATTTCCAATAGTCTACTCAAGTCTTAAACCCGTTATTGTTGAAACTTTTAAATCATGGTCGCCCTTGTCACCTACAAATAGATAATTGGATTACAAGATATTGTTGAAATGTCCCACCAAAAAATAAGGTGTATATGTAACAAAGTAAAAGAGAAAGTTCCAGCAGAGTGGATGATCACAAAAAAATTCTAAATGCTACATATTTCATCAGAATT